ACTATCCTGTTTTGTATTAACTCTGATAGACCAACAGCAAATGTACTCTCGCCATCTCTTTTTCTTAATCTGTCCTTGCAGCTTGTTTCAGTTATAACTCCTATTGCTATATTTTCTCCTTGATTAGGGAGCCTCAGATAATGGTTGTGGCATCAGCATACATTCTCCGACCTTGTCCTTTCAGGTATTTCATTGTTCTCCTTCACGAGCCTTCGTCAAACAAACCAAGCCTGAAGCATACAGTTATGCTGCCCGAGGAGGTGAAAGCTGATTGGTCAAAAGTGTGTATAAAAGCACGACAGTCAGCAGCGCTGCATTGCTCACCCCTTAGTCAGAAATGCTGTTATTGATTTCTGTATTCCTGTTTAGTGCTTCTTCGGGTTTTGCCTGCTTTAGCAACCCTGGTAAGTGAACCCATTAATAATTTTATTATTATAAATGCTGCCATGTGAACGGTGTGGACAACATGAAATTACCAACAGAGATTTTTATTGCCATGCAGGACCAGAACAATGTCCGCGAAATGGTGGACAGGTGAATTATGCAGATGCTGTGCTGAGGCTCGTGAATCCGAGCCGGTCATTGACAACAGTCAAGCGAGACGTTTCGGGTGCCTTAAATATATTTGAAATGACAATGAGCACGGCAGAAGCGAAGCCTGAGTGCCGTACTCTTCAAAGTGCAGTGCTCGTCAAGGATGTCTGGTGTACCATTCAGACTGCACGTATTGATATTCTTATTGAGCTTAAGTGAGTCAACCATGTGTAGTTCATTTCCTATTTAGCGAACTCATGTTGCCTGATGAGCTTTCATATTACTATAGTAGTTGTTAATTGTTAAGTATTTTCATATTTTTATATTTCAGGATGCCTATTCGGTCTATGTTTGACGTATTACTCCCTAGGGTAGATCGTGTTTCGATGGCCATTCCGGGGGCCGTGCTGAACGTCAAGTTGGAGGAGAAGCTGTTGGAAAATAGTGATCGTTCAGCACACATCCTGCAGCTTGCTGAAGTCAGGATTCAAAACATCAGTTCAATCATAGACGACATTAAGCGCTCTATTCCCAAAGCAGCATTTGACGACTGGAGGAAATGGGTTCTGGCGAACACGGGAATGCTTCTACAACAGGCAGTTCGTCAGCGCGGAATAGAACAATGTCAATGGTAGTAGGAATTTTTCACCCTTCTCCTTATTCGTCATTATGGGGATACTTGATGCCATTTGAAACTGCCTTTCAAATTTAATTTTTGTTTGGATATTTGTTTAGGTTAACTGGTGAGTGTACACCTACTATGGTGCATCCAATCAATATTCTGGAAATAAACCTTTGGATTTCGAATTGATCATTCTTTTTGAAGACGGACTCTTAACTGCGGGTGCTCCTGGCTTGGGGTGGGAAAATTGAAGAAAATTCGATTCAGTGTTAAAACGAATGCGAAGGCTATACTAATATTAAAACAGCTGATGATCACAAATATATGTCATTAAGAACAGAAGTGAGGTGATTTAGAAAAGATATGTGACATGCTACACAGGAACGATCGTACAAAAAAGCAATCTTAATAAATGCTAAGAATTTGATTGTTTTTTGGAAAAATCTTCAATGTTAGTGGCAATAAATTCTGATTTAATGCTACAATCCAGTAGGGTCGGAGTGACTTGAGCAAAATTAGTATGAATGATGTCAAGTGACTCCGTTCATCTACCTAGCGTGAGAATATACTTGACGCACTTCACATATTTACTTGATTCTTAAGTAGACTGGAAATGCCCATTCGGGCGGAGAACGTTCGCGTTCCAGGTATTTGCGTGCACTATGAAGAAGGATTGTCGAGAACCCGATCATGTGGATTATTATCCTGACCTGTCGGGATCCTGCGGGAGTCCATCATCAGAGAGAAGAGCGTACACATGAAGCAAGCAACAGTTATAGCCTGCGGGAATCAATCAATCGTTATAAAAGGGGAGGGAAGTAATTAATTAACAGTGTCGGCCGTGCAAAAATGGCTGCGAAAAAGACCGATTCACTGAATTCTCATCCGAGGCCCAGGCTTTAATCAATTCTCGGCTTGGCTTTCTGCCGGCGTGGGCGGTTATCTTCGCAGTTGCGAAGTTAGACTCTTGACCTGTAGCGTAGGTGTGGGCCACCACTTGCGAAAAAGCGTCACCCCTTCTGACAGCCAGCTTATGTTCGCATATATGCGCGATAGAGTAATATGTGAAAATGTACTCTGTCGAACTGTTGTGACGAGTAACACCGCTGACGGAAAATTAAAATGACGATCATGCTGGATTCTACAAAACAAGTAGGCACTTATGCAATTTACACAGGCCGTGTTTAATCATATCGTAGATTGTTACCGTTTTATAAAATAAAGGGTTATGCTGGTGGACAAGTAAACTGCCATGATGCAGCAATAAACCAAAAGAAAAATTACTGTAGGCCAACATTTCCTGATCTGTCAGTGTTGAATAAATGGAACTTATTGCAGAAAAATGCATGTATGGCAACCATAGAGACGACGATATAAGCATCGATGTAATTTTAAAAGAAACCTTCACAATAGGATTTTATGAATTCAAATTAGCTTAGGGTCCGATTTCCTCGCTCGCAAATTATTATCGAAGAGCGGTTTTAACGTCGACAGAAGGGCCGCTGTCTCGCAGAGGCTTAGAAATTGAGGAGCGTGGTACTCTATCTTCTTGCTTGAAAAGCTAGAAGTGTTCAGCCTATCTGGCTGCCAGTTGACTTTGCGTACGCCCAATGTACTTGCATGTGCATGTGAAT